TGGTTTCTTTTATCCTTAGCTTGATTTTTCTTTCCTTTTTCCTGAAAGGATGCAGGTTCAGGGGCTGGGTGGGGTTTTGTCTTTAAGGGAGCATCCAGAAAGGCTCTTTGTGAGTTTTCCTTCGAGATGCTGGTTCTCTGTCTTCTTTTCAAGAAGACTGTTTGGAGTACTGAGTTAAACATGTTATTACTTAGGAAACCTAAGTAGTTCCTATGTGAAGTACAGAGGACTTGCAGTACAACATACAGAAGCTATATAAATTGTAGGCCAGATGCTGACCCTCAAAAGGACTTGGTAAACTGTTGTGATTTTTTTTTTTAATTGGAGAAAACAGGAGTATTTATCAAGAAATTCCAGTTTGCATAGTGCTAGGGGAGAAGGGTGATCTACAATTCAAAAGATGACCATCATCTTGTTGTTTATGTGCTAAGCTTTTAACCCTATCATTCAACTGAGGCAAAAATCTTCCTGCAGTGCAATTTTTTAACTTCTCTGTATGTTTACCCACAAGGTGTGAAACTTTTATTTAAATAATAAGGTATAATTGAGGGGCTGGTGTGAATTTATCTTGTTACTGATAAATGCCACTGGTATAAACTCCCCCCCCCCCGGAATGACAAAGGTATCTTATGGCTCCCATTAACTTTAATTGGTCTTGGAGACCATATGTTGCCTTCCAATGCATATGTATGCACAGACAGAAAAATATACCCACCTGCATGGGGGGAGCTAATGAACTCAATTCAACAACAGCAGAACTGAGTGAGTATATTAGCTACCACCTGGTGTAGGAGATCTCTGGGGATGAAGGGGTGGGGAGAAGTGCTAACACATGCATGCAAAGCAAGGAACCTAAGAGCATTTAGGACTTGCTCCATATAGTCCCTTCTGGGTCTCTCTCTAGCCATGATGGTATAATTGGTTTAGTAACTCTGCTGCCAGCCTGCGGTTTTCTTCTGAGGGATATTTTTAGGCAGCCTATATACAGGCTGGGTTGTTGAGAGTTAAGATGATTTGGGTTTTGAGGAACTGGCTTGGGTTTCTGTGATTGGGGTTTATTTCCTGGTTCTAGCACCAACTTCCTTTGTGACCTTGAATATGTTCCTTAATCTTCCTCTTCATTTCCCCATTTGCAAATTGGATGAGATGCTCTTCTTTCCTTCTCTCTCAGAAGGCATTTGTTTTGCTCCTGCTCTGTAGAGGGGAAAAGTATGGAAACTAATACATCTGAAGCTATATGGTCAAGCTTAGTTCACAATGCTGGAAAGTGAGTATAATGTAATGTAACATGGTCCTGAGTCTAGGCAGTATATCTTTTATAACTGTAAAAAGGCCAAGTTGAAAAATACTGTTAATTAAAGTGATCAGGCTCCAAAGGGCTGATCAGTGACTATAACCAGTGCAACCTTCTGCAGGGAACCTCAACAACTCTGACCCATGAAATCTTATTCCTCTTACAGTTCTGGTGTTGATTATTTCTTTTTCAGGATAATTGACAAATCCAGTTTTCTCCCACACTTGTAATGAAGTTATAACAGACAAAACATTATGACACCATATTTTCCACCAGCCCCCACTACTAATTTCTCTCATCAAGGTTGTGCTTGATTCACTGATACTGATGTTGAATTCCTCTTTCTTTGTTGTCTGTCTCCTAGTTTTTGCAATGCTCTATTCCATAGTTTCTGAGCTTTTTCTGTATATGCATGAATGTATCCAAAATAACCTTTTCATATAGGCAAGTAGTCTCCCAGTCTTGTGTGGAACTGAGGTACTGATGTGAAATGATTTGTATAAAGCTTCTCATTTGTGGTACTGAATACTCCAAGTAAACTTCTGGCTCCGTTGATATCTGTGCCAATGCTCCCCTTAACTTCATGAGAACAAGATTTGTTTTTCTGCCTTTCATTTGGTTCCCTTTCTATTTTTGCATTCACAGAAGAGTCAAACTTCTAACACTACTTGGCTGTTATTTATTGTTGAGTAGTTTTTTGATATTTTAACCAGTTAAATAACCAGTTTTGATGGTTATTTATTGTACTGCAATAGGATATTAGTCTTGGCACTAAAACACTAGTCTAATCAAGTGCTGTGTACGTAATAGCATTTACGAGCTTTCCTTTAGTATAAAGCATGATTTCAATTGGTAGAAGGCGCAGAATTTTTGCAGATAATGCCAGTGCATTATCCTAAATATGGTACATGCTTATATACATAGTATATTTTAGCGACTTGTAAAATGTGTATATTTACACATGATGGAAACATCAAGCCCCTCACACATGCCAATTATTAGCAATTATTTCTTGAAGCAACTACCCATTAGCCTTTATGGTCTTGTGACCACCCCAGAATGCATGTAACTTTTTGTAGCTCCTTCTTCTGTAACGTTTTCTGAGTTGTGGTAATATTGATTGGGAAAAGGATAATGTCAGATGTAATAAAGTGTGGTTACTGAATAAGGAGGATAAAACAAAATATTGAATAACTTTTTAGTACTTGAGCACCATTCATTCTGTGCTCTGAATGAGGCAGGAAGCTTGTAGTAGGGAAAATACTATGTAGTAATGTAATTAAAGGCAGTGTCATAATGCATATACACCAGGGGACTGAATTAAAGCTGTACAAGCAACATTCAGTTGGGTATTCCCTAACCTTTTAAGTGTTTGGCTTTGCAACCATAATGACTCTCCAATGTAGTTGTCTTTAGATGTAATTTTAAATAGTAATAATTAAAAAGCAACCTGCATTATGTAAATTTATCACAATAAATTTAATACCTTTGCAGAAGGTAAATTGCACATAGATCTAGGTTATTTTAAAGCCACACCGCTTCTTCTAGTAGTTGCTCTATTATTATTTGTTCTGTTAGCAGTGGTCTTTTTAAGGGCTAATGGCTTTGAGTAGCCCTGATCGCCCACAGCAATTCTCAGTTTCTTCATTTTGTTATTCTGTTGCAGGAAAAGACATGGAAGGAAATAGCCCGTCAATGTTGAAGGATGAGTCTCCCCAGACACCAAACTCCATTAGCAAGGTACTGTGGCATGGGGCAATAACTTTGCTATGTCTCACTTACATCTCTCTTAAGGTTTTGTTAGTGATTGATCAATTCAATATTGAACACGTAGGGTTCATCTACGCGAGCAATTAATTCAATGTGGTGAACTCTGGAAAACTCCTCCCAGGCACAGCATTTAAACGAGCACATGGGACTGTAACTATATGAGCCAAGGCAGAGCATCCCCAAGTTGGCAGGAGGCCTGGGGAGTTGGCCCCAGGTGGTGGCATTGGGCACAGAGAGGCTGGCTAGAACACAAGAGTGCCCAAACAGCAGAGCCATGTGGCTAGGCAGCAGGCAGGGGTCTAGCTCCCTGCTGCCGGGCTGACTAGGCACAATTTACTCCAAGGTCAGTGTTTACATGTGCACTTAGACAGTTATTTTCGCTGCTGTAAGATATTACTGTCCTATAGTAGCACTATATTACAGTGGTGAAAATTAGGTTGCTGTGGTCTAATAGCATCTCATATGTAGGCTTTCAGTGTTTTTACACAGGTAAGTGACACAGCACCAGGCACTTTGCAAAGCACCCAGCACTGCAACGCTTGCAGTTGTATAAACAGCGAAATGCATGTCAGCACTGAGAAAATGGTGGTGGTGTGCTTTTGAACTAAAACACATTGGAGATGCTTTAGTTCAAAAGTTCACTGCCTCCATTTTCTGTGTGCTGATGCACATTTTGCCGCTTTTACAACTGCATGCAGTGCTGCGCGGTTCACCTCCACTCGCATGCAGAGCAGACTTGATTAATCAAGTCTGCGCTGGAAG